AGTTTTTTTTTTTTTTTTTTTTTTTTTTACAAACATGGTTGATGAATACTGATCTGAAAAAAAAAAAAATGTAAAGGACCAAGTGTGATGAACCCATACTTACCATTTGGATGCCATATTTCTGTTATGAACTTCATTTTAGGAGGCCTGAGAGGATAGTCTTTGGGAAACGTAAGATGGGCTTTAAAAACACCACCCTCACTATAAACAGAAAAAAAAACATAGCAGGCTTCGTGTTATTCAGCAGTAATATTGTGGTGGTACAATCATTGGATGCAATGTATTAAAATGTTTTGCATATGACAATATTGAAAATGATTCTATAATATTGAAGTGAAATTAAAATTCTGCCATTATTTACTCACTGCATGTTTTTGCAAACCTGTATGACTTTTCCAAGTAACACAAAAATTGAATTCTGAATAACTGCACTCATCCTTTAACTCATAGCTCATAACACTTATGTTTATTAAGGAATTATGTGACATGGCATTTAATAAGAAAACAAAAACACTTACAAAAGTGTATCAGGAGGGCCGATTATTAGCACTTCCCATCTGTAGAGATCATTATCATCTATCAAACCGGCTGAGAAACCTTCCACAGGATTTTTATTCAGTTCTGTCAGGAAAATAGGACATGAAGATACTGATTAGCCATTTTATACGACAGAGGGAAAAACAAATGTGACATTTCAGGTCAGAAGGGGCATTTTTGGTTTCACATGGGTGTTGACAGTACACCCTACAACCACGGTTGCAAAATCAAAACTGTTTTTGCATCTGTGCAGCATTTCAGACAAGAAATAACCAATTTGCCTTTTTGTTATCAGATCATCTGAGCCTGAAGCCAAAGAACATTGGCCTATCAGTGCCTGTAGTCTCAGACGCTCGGTCTGAACTTCTGTGTTCTACAAGAGAGAGCAAAACAAAATCACTGGACCACCTTGTTGACAAAAACAAGCTGACAGCTGGGTGATCCAGTCATATAGATGTGTCACTTTTATGAGCACATGAATCATTAAGACAGTCTTGTATTCTTACTAAGCGCCTCTACTCTGCAACACAACAGGACAAGACACAGTCTTTTACTGCTTTTTGGCTCTTAATAAATGACTCCATTTAAACCACATTTACAACAAACCTAATTTTAATGCTAAAGCACTGATTCATGTTTTTATTGCAAAGCAATGCCGCACAATTACTCTAAAGAGCCTGTCACACCAATGACAATGACTATAAAGTTTTAGCAAACGTTGCAGTTCAAGAATAAATCCACATCACAACCGCAATGACACAGTGAAACAATATCATTGGAATCACTTTCAAAACAATTTTTCCAGCTGATGCATAATATAAACATTGACAACCAATCAGAATCAACCCCAATTTAAAGAGCTTGAGCATTTAAAGTGGCAGATGGCATAACTGCAGTGTGCACTTGTAATTAACAAAACATTATTACAGACACTTGTATAGTTATCGTTCTTGGTGTGAACAGACCTTCATTTTCGACTTAAGTTAAGATCTCACAAGTTGTGCCTACATTTTCCTGGCCCGTATCTTTACAATCCAGCAAAAATGGATGTTGTGAGGCTTTTGTTCCCTCAGAGGGTTCACTGAGTTTAGAACAAGGCCGATGAGTTCACCATGCTGGTCCTGCTGAAAGGAGACAACCAAAACAGCCCTGATCCCCTGAATCAGTCAATCAGCCACAAGGCCACCGCAGAACCAGACACCATGACAGGCCCGGGGTGCAGCTCACTCTGTTGACTCTTGGAAAGAAATAGGCGAGCTGCCTCCATGCATGTGTAAGATGAGTAAGATGGAGGGGGGGTTGCTTGAGCTGTCCATGGGCAAAGAGACAGCTGTCATGAACCTGATCTAACATTTTTAAACATGGTCTGACATGTACATCAAGTTTAAACCAAGAAAACTCACGTAATCTGCTTAGTTTGACCCCATTGCAACTAATTCACTTCACTGGCTGCACTGCGCAAATGGGGCCCAGTGGAGAAATCCTCTGGCTTGAGCCGAGTAAAGCTGACACTCACGGATCATGTTGCTCAGCGTGTACTGGACAAAGAACGGGAGAAACAAACTAAAAACGACTTTAATAACAGCATGTTAAGTATATCACCATAAACAAAGAATGAGGTTGGTGTTATATGCGTATGTACATGTATTACGACAGTACAGTTGGACTGGGGGTCTCTAGTTCTCGCTGTACCGGTGAGCTGGTGTTCAAACAGCAGCCATCAATTTGTTAGCTTAGCCTGTTAGCCAGCCTAGAAAAACAAAGGAATTTGATCACCCCGCTGCGGGGAAATGGCACACAATGTACGGCTTAGAAATCTCACCTTTGCGCCTTGTGATAACAATTTTGATTCGACGGACCATGATAAGACGGTGAACGAAAACGGGGCCAATGACAGAGATTCTCTGCGTTAACGAGACGATATACCGACTGCTGGTGCGCCTGTGTAAACTGCGTCCGGACACAGATGTCAAAACACGGGCTAGCCGCCGGTGTGATACGGACGAAAATGCCCGACTTTTATACATTTACAACATCAAACTGAATGAAATCAAAAGAATGCACGCGTATTGTTATTTTAATTGCATCTTCACGGTTCACAGATTCATATTCAATCGTTAGACGTACCAAAAAAGGCATTTAAAATTAACAAAAGACGGCAGAGTTAGCCTTTAGCCGGGTATTTTAGCTGCTAACTCGCTAACGAATGCGTTAAGATAAATACAGCGATCGTTAGCAGCTAAACTAGCGGCTAACGGCTAACACCACCGTCTCGACTGCATCGGCAGGCTAAATGTTCACCGGTTTGTTAGCCTGGTCTTGCCAACAGCCTTTAAAAAATTACCTGCTAGCTGTCTCCTGAGTAACAGTGCTGACTGGGGCTCCGTCATGTTTTTATAAGTTATATTCTAGGTCGACAGTCGTTCACTTCGCTAAGGGAAAAATATGTTTATTTGCTTGCGCGTCTTTCCGTTTCTGCTCTAGTCCGTTTTGCTCAACATTCTGATCCGATGTGCGCACGCGCTCTGCTGCTCTCTGTGAGGCCGCGAGGAGAGAGCGCTCCAGGGGTACTTTATGGGCGGAGGATTCGCGCATGTCTTAAACACATACACTTATTTTTAACAAACAGTATGGCTTTGACTGCGGGATTATATGTAAGCACTCCAGAATGTTGTTAAGTCAACAACAACATTGTTGACAAATTCACGCACAAAACGATAAAAGGAAAATCATTAACTGTGTGCATATTTTTATATGCTCATTATAGCTTACTGCTGTAATTAGTTTATGTTGAGGCATTTTTTATTTGTTCTTAGTTTTTGCAAGTGCCAGTTTCAGTGAAAAGTTTTTGATTTTATGTAAAGCAGTGTCATTTAACCACTAGGTGTCAGTAAAGAGTAATAAATCTAGTTCAGAATCAGAATCAGAAAGAGCTTTATTGCCAAGTATGGGACTACCCTCTGTAGTCTTCTGAGGTCAGATTTGGTAGCTGAGCTGAACCAGACAGTTATTGAAGTGCAGAGGATGGATTCAATGATGGCGGAGTAGAACTGTTTCAGCAGCTCCTGTGGCAGGTTGAATTTCCTCAGTTGGCGAAGGAAGTACAACCTCTGCTGGGCCTTTTTAACAGTGGAGTCAATGTGAAGTGTCCCACTTCAGGTCCTGAGAGATGGTGATGCCCAGGAATCTGAATGACTCCACTGCAGCCACAGTGCTGTCCATGATGGTGAGTGGGGGGAGTGCAGGGGGTTTCATCCTGAAGTCCACGATCATCTCCACTGTTTTGAGGGTGTTCAGCTCCAGGTTGTTAAGACTGCACCAGACAGCCAGCTCTTTAACCTCCTGTCTGTAAACAGACTCGTCTCCGTCCTTGATGAGACCGATGACTGTAGTGTCATCTGCAAACTTCAGGAGCTTGACAGAGGGGTCTTTAGAGGTGCAGTCGTTGGTGTAGAGGGAGAAGAGAAGAGCAGTGGGGAGAGGACGCAACCCTGAGTTTAAAGGGATAGTTCACCCAAAAGTGAAAATTCTTTCATTATTTACTCTCCCTCAAGATATTCCACACCTGTGTGAGTTTCTTTTTTCTGTTGAACTCTTTTTCTGGTAACCAAATAGTTGATGGTCCCCATTGACTTCCATAGTATGGAAAAAAAATACTTTTTTTTTCTTTCTTCAAAATATCTTCTTTCGTGTTTAACAGAATAAATAAACGTATACAGGGTTGAAACAACTTGAGGGTGAGTAAATTATGACAGGATTTTCATTTTTGGGTGAACTATCCGTTTAATATTTTAATACTAATTTCTACAGGTATGACGTAATAAGTGACATTTACTACAAATGACAAGATTTTCTAGACAGTGACTGTTTGTTTCAGCAGGGTTTCAGCTCGATGTTGCTGAATTATTGATTGGCTGATATGTAATTTTACAAAACCTTTATTACAATGGTAACCCACATTGCTGAATGCATATACCACAACCTACTTTTTTACTTTTTTCATGACACCAGTTAATCATTCATTGAAATCAGCAATACAGGAAAGATTGGGTGGCAGGTCACTGTGCTCACTGTACACAAATTCATGCAATGACTCTCAGAACGTGGTCTAAGAGAATACGTAGGCCAGTATCCTGTTACATATGGTACAATGTATATACAGTGGCTTTGTTTTTTTTAGAGAAGCTGTCAGACAGATTATTTCCCAAGAATGACCAAATTTTCTGGCAGCTTTGTTTGTCAGACCTTTGTCCTGGTGTTCAGAACATTACTGTGAAACATAATGCCAAAAGCCCTGGCAGATCTGGGTAACAGTGTGAAGCAGAAAGCATGAAGTGAGCATGGAGATGAAAATCTACTGGTTTGTGGTCTATTGCAACACAAGGAGGAACAGTACTGCTGCGTGTGACCAGAGAAAAGGGGGCAGGGCTTGATTCTAACATGATAACCCTGCAGTGTGCTGTATTCACAGAGGAATGCCTTTCTGTTTCTACAAGTGACATCTCAACAAACACAGCAAAAAAGAAAAAGAAAGAAAGAAAAAGGAAGAAAAAAGAAAGAAAACATAGATTAGAGTGGCACTGGGCATTGGGGCACATCAACTAAAATGTAAGTAACTTTATGTTTAAATTATTGAGACTGTCAAGATAAAATGATCTTCTAATGAAATGTTCAATCTTAATTACTGCACAAAAAAGTTTGAAAACTTAAATATACCATGACCTCAGTGTCTAAAAGACTGGTTGCATTCTAGATTCAAAGCTGAACAATCATATGGCATTGTCCTGTTGCAGTCATGCAGCTAATCATCACAACATTGGCATTGTTGGCAGTCCGCTGAGGAACTTAGTCCTGACCCGAACTCATCTAATGATACCCATTTGGACGTATCGTCAGTTCAGACTACCACTAAAAGGAAGCTTAATCTATATTTCTTCACAGACAATATAACTTCTTAATATAACACAATAAAACATATTAATATTACTTCAGGCTAAAGATATTTGCCATAATA